AGACCAGTATCAGTGGAGATACTGTCACTGACAGGGCTGTACCACAGCACACCCACCTTCTAAGATTTCCAATGACCTTCAGTCTCCTTAACTCCCAGACCTCCTTTTCACTGGAAGAGAGGGAAGCAAACAACTGCTTTAAATAAAATCTTCATGGAATTGAAAATATGGACATCTGTGCTAACATTAGACAAGGACACTGTAAGTGTGACACCAGACCCAGAGCACAAATATCATTTTAGAACAAGATGAATGTTTTCTTTTTGTTCCAAGTCCCTGAAGATTAAGCCTTGAGAAAGACACTCAAAAACTAAAGTTATCCAGAATGTTCTTTGCTTGGGAAAAAGAAATGATTTATGATACCCCAGTAATAGGAGTTGAAGAAGAGAAAAGAAGTGGGCATAATGCTGATGAGTGCCAGCAATACTGTCTCTCCTTCAGCCAAGTAACCTGGTACCCACAGGCTGCTATCTGGTCCTCACACCTGGGGGTCCTCAGTGCCACCTGTTGGTGGACTACTCTCCTGTTCTGGGGCCAGGTAAGTGGGACTCAGTATGGTTGTGGGTTCCAGTCTCATATTCATTCACTATCTGTTCATCTATCTGTCCATCCATTCATTTTTCCATCACACATTCATTCAGTAATTCACTCATTCATTCACAAAATCTTTACTGAAGGATATTCTCCTCATGCACAGTTATGGTGACTTCTGAAAAGCCATCCCAGCTCTTCCTGTCCTGGAGTGGTCATGTTGCTCCTGCTAGCAGTTCTTAGTCCTGCCTTCCCAGAATCTCTCACAACACTATGAACCTTCTGCTCCTGGTGATGGTATGGATATACTTTTTCCTATTCTTTCCTAAGCATAACTAGAAACCCGGACAACTTGATGTGGTATCTTGTATCCCAGTTACTTGGAAATCTGAGGTAGGGAGATTGATTGAGGCCAGTACTTTGAGATTAGCTTGGGCAACATAGTGAGACTCTATTTCAGAAACAAACAACAGACCAACCAACCCCCTAGACATTATTCTTAAAATAAGCCTCAGGAGAACTGCAGGTCTCAGAGAGGCCGAGGCAGACTGACGATGAGCCTCAGAAGTCAGAGAATAATCCCAGGATGAGTTTCTGGGCTCTTGTCTGGCCACACGAACCTGAGATTGCATAGTCTAGGAATACTCAGAGGGCACAGACTGAATGAAAATCCCCAAGCAAAGTCTATTGTGTCTAGTCAAAAGACCCAGAAAGGGGCAGCCTGGAAAACTAGAAATCTTTCAGATACTAATGGCTCTATTCCTGCTAAGCCCCATAGAAGACCCTAAAGCCCATGGCTTTCTTAGCCAGCAAAGGCACAGTGAATCCAAGACAACCCTGCTCAGGCTACACCAATGCCACCAAGACCCTTTATGATAGTGCCCTGCAGATGATACTAGGGAGCAGGTCTCTCATGCCCATCAAGGAGACACTCCCCTCCAGTGGCAGCACTTGGGGAGGAGTCTCCCCCATCCTCTAGTGTCAGCAGGATCTGAGTAGAGAGCCAAAGTTTCACTCCCACTTAAATGTAATGAGGCAGCACCTCCCCATGTTCCCTTCCTCTGCCCAAGCAGGGTCAGGTGACTCCAGACACAACAGATGCCTGAAATGTGGCCCAATGTCCCCTAAAATAATCCAGAAAAATGTCCATGTTTCCACCAGAAATCACTTGTCATGTCAAAATGGAAAGACTGTATCCCATTTTAAAACACATGTGCTGGGACTGGAGAGATGGCTCAGTGGTTACAAGCACTGGCTGTTCTTGCAGAGGACCTAGTTTTGGTTCCCAGCACTCACAAGGTGGCTCACAATTGTCTGTAACTCCAGTTCCAGGGATCTGATGCCTTCTTATGGTCTCTGCAGGCACCAGATATACACGTGGTACATTCATATATATATATAACTCATATATATATATATATATATATATATATATATATATGAAAATAAACAAGTCTTTTAAAAAAGGCATAGATTAGGGATATGGCTCAGTTGGTTGAGTGCTGTCCAACATGCAAGAAGCTCTGGGATTGATTCCCCACATAAACCAGGTGTGGTGGACCATACCTAAAATCCCAGTATTCCAGAGGTAGAGGCAGGAAGATCAGTCCAAAGTTCAAGGTCTTTTTTGACTATGTAGTTTGAGGCCAGCCTGGAATACTTGAGGCACTCTCTTGAAACAAACAAACAAACAAACAAACAAACAACCCCACAAAAATGTGGGGGCTGCAGAGATGGCTCAGGAGTTAAAAAACACTTGCTGATTTTCCAGAAGACCTGAGTTGGGTTCCCAAAACCTACATCAGGAGGATCACAAGCATCTATAACTCCAACTCCAGGGGCTCCAACACCTCCTTCTGGCCTCTGTGGCCATTGCCCTCACATGAACAAACCCACACATAGACGTACATATAGACACATAATTAAAAATAAAAATAAAATCCTAAAAAAATTAAAAGATAATCAATGGATAACAATGATAAGGTACAGAGGTCTCAGAATACTCTGACAAACATTTTTTAAAATCATCATAAAATGTTTCAGAAGAACCACATGGAAATTTTAGAATAAAAGAACAATTGAAATGAAAACTCCACGACTGGGTTCAGTAGCAGGATGGAAGGAGCAGAGTGAGTGAACCAGCTGGGAGTGGTAGCGCATGTCTGTAAGCCTAGCACTAGAGCGCCAGAGGCAAGGGGAATGCCACAAGCTGAGGGCCAGTCTGATCTACCATAGTGAGCAAAAACCAAAGTGCAAATAAAAAGAATGAGTCAACTGCAAGATTAATCAATAGAAATCACCCAATTTGATCACTAGAGGAAAAAGAGACTAAACTTAAAATAATGAAAAAGCCCCCCAGGGACCTCTGTGGGACTAATAAAATGGATTTAATATTCATGTAATCATATCTTAAAAGGAGAAGACAGCAAGGATGAGAAAGCACTGAAAGAAATAATGGCCAGATTTTCCTAAAATGGACAGAAGACATAGTATTCGTTACTTTTTTCATTACTGTACCCTAACACCTGACAGAAACAACTTATGGAAAGAAAGGTTTATTCGGGCTGATGACTTCAGAGGGACTTCAGTACATCAGAGCTGGGCGGGCACTGTAAACTGCTCCATGGTAGGGGGACTCATGGCCTAGTCACATAAGGATGAACCAGGGGGCATTTATAACATTCAAAGCCCCACTCCCTAGTAATCTACTTCTACCAGTCAAGCTCTATCTCTCTTTTTTGTTTTTATTATTTTAAAAATATTTTATTTATTATTTTTATTTTATGTGTATGAGTGTATTGCCTGCCTGTAGGTAAGTGCACCCGTGTCATACAATGCCACAGAGGACAGAAGAGGCCATCGGATCCCCTGGAACTGGAGCCACGGGCTGTTGTTAGCTGCCATGTGGGTGCTGGGATTCAAACACGGGTCTTCTGCAAGAACAGCCAGTGTTCTTAACCACTGAGCCATCTCTCCAGCCCCCTGTTTTTATTATTTTTATTTTGCTTTATGTGTATGAGTGTTATACCTGCATGTATGTTAGTGCACCCATGTTGTGCAATGCCTGTGGAGGTCAGAAAAGGGCAATAGATCTCCTGGAACTGGAGTTATGGATGGTTGTGACCTGCCATGTGGGTGCTAGAAACCAAACCTCGGTCTTCTGCAAAAGCAGCTAGTGCTCTTAACCACTGAGTCATCTCTCCAACCCCCAAACTCCATCTCTTAAAGGCTCCAGAGCCACAACCTGGGGAACAAGCAATTACTATATAAGCCTTCAGGAGACATTTCAGATTCAAACCATCATGCAGTATACCTAGTGAATCCAGAACTGAATGAATCTTAGACAGGATAAACCTCTGAGAAAAAATGTGGGAAGCAGCCTAAGAAAGCAATATCTTACAGTGACCAGGCTTCTCACTGGAAAACACAGAGACAGAAGAGAGTGGCACAGTATCGATCAGAGGCTAACAGATAAGAAACCAGTCCAGAATCTTATAGTCTATCCTTAAAGAATGAAAAGAACCAATGCATACGCAGAACTCGAACAACACTTTTGTGCCGAAAACTACCACCCAATGATGAAAAAAAGGTACAAATGAATGGAGACACTCAGCACTCAGGACCTGGAGAGTCAACACGGCAGATGTTTCCCTAAACTGATGTTCAGATTTAATGTAATCACCACACAAATTGCAGCCAGAAACCTTACACACAGAGGTAAGAGTACTCTAGGGCTGGAGAGGTGGCTCAGTGGTTAAGAGCAGAGGACCTGGATTCCCAGCTCTCCTGCTCCAGGGAATCCAGTGTTTTCTTCGGGCCTCCTTGGGCATCTGCACACAAGTGCATACATACACAGACATACAAGTATAATAAACCAAAAATAAAAAGGAAATGTAAAAGATTAGTTTAAAATTCATGTGGAAATAGAAAAGAACTAAATAATGAAAAAATTTTAGTAGTTTTAAAATATTTTATTATTTTTATTTTATGTGTATGAGTGAGTGTATTGCTTGCATGTAGGTCGGTGCACTCGTGTCATGCAATGCTCAAGGTCAGAAGAGGGCATCCGATCCCCTGGAACTGGAGTTACGGACTGTTGTTAGCTGTCATGTGAATGCTGGGAATTGGACCCGGGGTCTTTGCAAGAGCAGCCAGTGCACTTAACTGCTGAGCCATCTCTCCAGCCCAACATTTTAATAATTTTAATTTTATGTACTGTGGGAGGGCATGGGTATGCCATGAGGTGAGTATGTGTCAATCTTGGTGATAGTTGCTTTTACTTACTAAGCCATCTTGCTGGCCCTGTGTATTTGTTCAAGTTGAACTTAAACTTGCTATGTAGTTGAGGCTGACCCTGAATTCCTGATCCTCCACATGATGAATGTTGGGATTATATGTGTGTGCTACCAAAACTGACTTGACTGAAAACATTTTGAAAAAGGAAAATAAAATGGGAGAAATCAGCTCACCTGCTTTTGAGGCATCAGACAGACACAGCAATCACAGCTCTGGCGCTGGTGGAGGAATCATGAACACTGGAGCAGAACAGAGACAAGAAAGCAGATTCAAACATGACAGAGGTGCTAAATCACTTTGATGAAGGGCAGAGTCTTTCTAGCAAACAGTACTGAGCAACTCTCAACCCATGGGCAAAAACAACATGAACCTTGACCTAAACCTCATACTCTATTTAATAAGTTAATCAAGATGGTTTAGAAACTAAAATGTAAAATATGAAACTATAAAACTTTTAGGATAATGTACTAAAGAAAACCTCTAGGCTCCAGGGCTAGATTAAGAGATCTTACACTTGACACTCAAAGTAGAATCCATAAAGAGAAAAAAATGACAAAGTGGATCTCATCAAAATGAAAGAATTTGTTTTGCAAAATTTTCTGTGAAAAAGATGAAAAGAAGCCAGGTATGATAGTACACACTTTTAATCACAGCACTCAAGAGTCTGAGGCAGGCATATTTCTGTGAGTTTGAGGCCTGGTCTACATAACGAGTTCCAGAACAGCCAGGAATATATAGTGTGACCCTGCCTCATAAAAACAAACAAACAAACACGAAAGAAGATGAAAAGATAAGTGGAAAAATCTTTTCAAGCTACATGTCTGCCTAAGGACTAGTATTCAATATACATAAAGAGCTCTCAAGTTGGGCATTGTGGTACATAGTTTTAAGTCTGGCACTAGGGAGGTGGAGGCAGGAGGCTCAGAAGTTTAAGTTAGCTACATAGTAAGTTTAAGGCCAGTCTGAGTTACATGAGAGCCTGTCTCACAAAACCATACCAAAACAAACTCCTAAAATTCAACCTTAAAGGCCAAACCATCCAATCAGAAGACAAGGACATGACATAAAGAGACATTTCAGCAAGAGCTAAAGAGATCACACACACACACACACACACACACACACACACATGCATCCAACATCACTGGCCAGGAGGTAAATGCAAATAAAAAGTGCAGGGAGACAGTACTGCAAGCCCGTCAGAATGGCAAAATGCGCTCTCCTGAGCACACAAAATCTCATGTACGAACCACACTGTGCTCTTAACAGTCCCAAACTGTAAACAACTGGGTATCGTCAGATGGGGGAATAGTAAACTACATGTAGCAAATGCATACCACAGAATATTGCTCTGAGATAAAAAAGGAAACAACTAGGGGCTGTGGGTTCAGCTCAGTGGTAAAATTCCAACCTTGAATGAATTCCATTCCCAGGACCGAGAGACAGAGAGAGAGAGAGAGAGAGAGAGAGAGAGAGAGAGAGAGAGAGAGAGAGAGAGAGAGAGAGAGAGAGAAGAGAGAGAGAGACAGAGAGAGACAGAGACAGAGACAGAGACAGACAGAGAGAGACAGAGAGACAGAGAGAGACAGAGACAGAGAGACCGAGAGAGACAGAGACCGAGAGAGACAGAGACACTATTGATATACACAACCATGTGAACACAGCTATAGAACATTTGCTAAGAAAAACTTATCTCAGGCTGGAAAGCTGGCTCAGCAGTTAAGAGCACTGGCTGTTGTCACAGAGGACCCAGGTTTGATTCCCAGCATCCACATGGTGGCTAACAACCATCTATAACTCCAGTTCCAGGGAGTTATCCAGAGATCCAATTCTGGATCTCTGCCAGAATTGCATGACACTGGTGCACTTTCATACATGTAGGCAGTACACTCCCATACATAAAATAAAAATAATAAATTAAAAATTTTTTTTAAAAAGCTGGTCTCAAAAGGCTGCTTACTGCATGATTCCATTTATACAGCATTCTTGAAAATGTCAAATTAAGCTGGGTGTGGTGGTGCATGCCTTTAATCCCAGCACTCATGAGGCAGAGGCAGGTGGATCTCTGTGAGTTCAAGGCTGTCCTGGTCTATACAGCGAGTTCCAGGCCAGATGGGGCTACAGGGAGACGCTGTTTCCAAAAGACAGAAAAAAAAAAAAAAAAAGAAAAGAAAAGAGAAAAAAAGAAAATGTCAAATTAAAGAATTAGACAGCAGAAAAGTGATCTCAGGGGTCAGAGAGAAAGGAGGCGAGTAGGAAAACAGAAGAGCCACTTCAGGGTCCTGGCACGGACAGAGGCACCTGTACCTTGATGCGTAGGTGCCATCACGCTGGCCACGACCTGTACAAGAGTTCTGTGGACTGCTCCCATGGGAGAAAGCTGAGGACAGAGACATGGATTGTTCTGCATGCTTTCTTTGCTCTCTACTACCTACCATTCTTTTATTTCTTCAACAAGTTCTCAGGTAGCCCAGTCTGGCCTCAAACTCACTATGTAGCACAGGATAATTTTTGAACTTCTGCTCATCCTCTCTTCACTTCCTGAGTGCTGGTATTACAAACATGTACTGGGATGCCCGGCTTAGGCCAGTGCATTTTATATCTTAGTACACACATGAATTTTCTGGGGCTCTACTTAAAAAGCTCAGTAAATCTGATGTAGTACCCCCGATGCTGTGTTTTATTTTCATTTTTTAATTATTTTTATTTTATGTGCATGAGTGTAATGCCTGCATATAAGTAGATAGGTGTACCTCTGTCATGCAATGCGCATGGAGGTCAGAAAGGGCATCAGATCCCTTGGAACTGGAGTTACTGATAGTTGCTAGCTGCCATATGGATGCTGGGAATCAAACCCAGGTCATCTGCAAGAGCAGTCAGTCCTCTTAACCCCTGAGCCATCTCTCCAGCCCGTTTTATTTTTATTTTTACTTCTGTTTTACATGTATGAGTGTTTTGCCTGCAGGTAAGTACACCATGTGTGTGCAATGCCCACAGAGGCCAGATCAGGGTTTTCGATCCCTTAGAAGTTGAGTTATGAATGGTTGTTAGTCACCACATGGGTTCTGAGTATTGAGCCCTGGTCCTCTGCAAGAGCAGTCAGGCTCTTAACCACTGAGCCATCTCTCCACTTTCTGAGTCACTAGAAGAAAGGAGCTTGAAGGCTCTAAACACAGTCAGAGCAGGAAGGATTGCCCTGATTTGACCAGCATGTATTATCCACATGCAGTGAAATACCACACTATGCCATGCATGTTTATAATGACTGCGTATGGATCAAGAAGCTTAGACATCATTTATATTACCTGCCCTGACCTGATTGATATGCATTGTCTACACAGATCCCTTTGTTACTTTCCACCTCATGCACATGTACAGTTAAGATAATAATCAATAGAAAGAGAAAAAATTATCAGGGCAACTGTTTAAAAAAATTACATCCCAGCATTTAGGAGGCAGAGGCAGGCTTATCTCTGTGAGTTTGAGGCCAGTCTGGTCTATATAGAGAGTTCCAGGCCAGCTGGGGCTACAGGGAGACCCTGTCTCAAAAAGGCCAAAAAAAATTTTTTTACAGTGGGCCCAGGTCTGAAGATGGGTCCAGGAGTTCTAGCTGGAGCCTAGGACTCTTTTTTTAAATATTTTATTTATTATTTTTATTTTATGTGTATGAGTGTATTGCCTGCATGTATGTGAGTGCACCCATGTCATGCAATGCCGCGGAGGTCAGAAGAGGGCTTCGGATTCCCCTGGAACTGGAGTCTAGGACGGTTCGCAGCTGCCATGTGGATTCTTATTTTTATCTTTTCCTCTATAGCAAGTGTTCTGCCAGGTGGCCTTTTGTCCCCTGATTCCTCTGGAAACCAGTTAACTGTGGCCCCCAAGCAATAATCAAATCCACAAGTTCTTGTCTCCCTGAGTCCAGTACCCTTGTCTGCCATGGGGAGGTTCTCAGAGTCTGGAGAGGGGAGGGCCAGGAGGGAGTAGAAGGGAAGGTGGAAAGGTACTGGCCAGCAGGCACAGCACCATAGTTAGAAGAGAGAGCTCAGGGCCTCTTGCAAGGCAGTGTGGTAGTGGTTATCAAGGTTGTGTAGAGTATTCCCAAACAGCCAGAGAGAGGATTCTGAGTGCTTTCCACCTCAGATAAATGATAAATCTTGATGCCAGAATTGCTATTTAGCATATCTGATTATCACACATATACATATCTACCCATAAATACACACAATTATTACATGGTAATTAGAAAAATAATAGCCACCAAAGTCCATGCATGTTTTTTTTGTCGCCTGCAGGTGTTTCACACAGGACTGAACAGGATGACAAGACAATGTGATTGAGTGCTAGCTAGCTACGCTGAGGAAGCCTCTGCCTTCTGGAAGCAAAGACTAGCGAGTATGAGAAGATACCCACCCAGAGCTAAATTTAGACTCTCCTGGAAGTAATCAGAGGGACCGAAATATAATCACAGCAGCAAGTCAATATTAATTACTGCCACATCTATGTACCTCGGTCACTTCAGGCACTATCTGGATGGTGGTAAACTCTGTTGAAACTTCATTGCACAGTTGTTTTTCTCCTGTGTAAAAGAAGAGCTCTAACTTCTCCAGCTACTACTGGGAGGTCCCCTTCATGTGCTGACCACTATGTAGTCAAAACCACCTCATCTGTAATCCTAGCATGCAGGAGGCTGAGCCAGGAGGATATCAAGTTCAAGGCTGGTCTGGGCAATGTGGTGAGGGGCTGTCTCAAAAGAAAACATTTTAAAAGGGTTGGAAGTACTTGCCCAGCATGAATGAGAACCTATTTTCAAGCCCAGTACTGAAAAAAAAGCCCAAACCAAACAACAGTAATTAATTGCGCTGGGAGATGGCTTGGTGGTAAGAGTGCTGGTTCTGCATGCATGAGGACCCGAGTTCAGATTCCTAACACCCCTGTAAAAAGTCAGGTGTGGGGTATGGGAACTGAGACAGAGGATCACTGGGACTTGCTGGCCAGTCAGCATAGCCAAAAAAAAAAAGCAAGCTCCAGGTTCAGTGAGAGACTCTGTCTCAAGGGGACAAGGTGGAGAGCAACAGAGGACACCAGACACCTTCCTCTGACCTCTGCACAGGTGGGCATGTGTAAGCTCATCTGCACACACATGCTCACACTCGTGTATACATACAAAATGATAATAAAGGGTTGGGGATAGCTCAGTAGCGGAATGCTTGCCAAGCATGTGCAAGGCCCTAATCTCTAA